CATTCAGGTCTGGTGTAGGGGTTCCCAGTAAAGCAAACTTTCCTTTGCCTGAGAAAGGGAACACAGAAAAGTACAACGGAAACGGTGCGTGGCTCAGAGCTGGCTTCTAGACACCTGACTCTAACAGGTACTCGGCCACGCTGGGCCTCGTTTCCTCACCTCTGACCATCAGTTATGCAATCTTAGCAGGCCTTGTTGCCCGGTCTGAGGAAGCAACACCAGGTGGTCTTTTCCCATATTAATTCTGTACTTGTCTGTATTCTATAATACCACCTTCAGTGCCTTTACATTAAAAACAAAACAAACAACAACAAACACTTCTAACCACGCCCGTCATCCCTTAACTCAATCACACCGGCTTTTGGGGGAAACAGCTCAGCGGAGAAGCAAGAACTCCTGAGTATCCAGAAGGCAGGGCAGACAATGACAGAGAACCATTTCCAGTGACTGACAGGAGGTGTCTGGAGATAAATTTTTCCCTGAGAGAAAGAGACATTCTTCAAGCACGTTCAGTAACCTGAGCTCAGATATCCAGGAGCAGTCTAATTTTTTAAAGACTAAAATACCTAAACAGCTAAAAGTCATTCTGAGTAATAAATAAGTCCTATTTGAGGATAGATGGAGAGGGTGAAGTTAATGCTAGCAGGATAAATTCCTAAGATGTTAAACATTCTCCATCACAACAAAGATAGACTTTCAGCTTTATACGAAAGAAAACTTCATTTCAAAAGTTAAGCTGAGTTACTGGAAAATGTAAGCAAATGCTATTCTATTTATCAGACACAACTACAAGCTCTGTACTTATTACTCTGTTAAGAATGTAAATTTACAAGAAAAAGAGCAAGTGAATAGGACCACACTCCTAGTGACACAGAAGTGACCTACACAACAGGGTGTGAAATCTAAGCCAATCTATAACTAACACACATAGGCACAAAACCCCAGAGACTGTCGTATCTTAGCGGGCTGGATTGTGGCTTTATGAATTCACTGCAGGCTAGGAAATCCTGTCCTATACAGAGATAAAATTGTGTAGACTTTTGCAATTATACAAGTAGGTCTCGTGCAGGGGTTCCTAGTAAAGCAGACTTTCCTTTGCCTAAGAAAGGGAACACGGAAAAGTACAACGGAAACGGTGCGTGGCTCAGAGCTGGCTTCTAGACACTTGACTTTAACAGGTACTCAACCACGCTGGGCCTTGTTTCTTCACCTCTGACCATCGGTTGCTCAAGGTTGACTTAGCAACCTTTCCTGTGCAACAAAATATGTTTGGGGAACTATATATGTGGGTCATGTTAATAAGGACTTTTGGGCAGGTGTGACAATAAAATACAGTAGGAAAAAAAGAAGTTGTTGAAGTATAAAAACACTGCCTAAGTCAGGAAAGGCTGTGAATTTCAAACAGGCCCCCAAAAGATTTTCTAAACAAAAACTTTTAGTTTTGAAATTGATATAAATTTTTATTGAAGTATATGTCAGGTAAAGTACATGCCGTAAGTATACATCTTGATAGTTTTTTTACAAATCATGTAACCAGCACCCAGACACTCGAATCAAGAAAAAGAACATTATCAGAATCTCAGCAGTCCACCTCATACTTGTTTCCAGTTAAAATTCCACCCAACGTTTTGAACTTCATATTAATTATAGGTTAGGTAGTCTTTCTGCCTGCTGTGTTCCATATTATGCTGAATAGAATTGGCCATGTTGTTCTATGAAGTTGTAATTATTCTTCTTGTTTTATAGTATTTCATCACGATTACACCACAATTTATTTGTGCACTCTACTATTAATAGACACTTAGGTATTTTCCACTTTAATGATATTACCAACAGTAACTTGTAAACATGTCTGTTGGTAAATACACGTGCATTTCTCTTGGGTATGTATACATCTAGTAGAATTGCTGGGTCATGGGGGATGCGTTTGTTCAGCTTTAGCAGATGCTGTCAAACAGTTTTCTAACCTGGAGGTACCAAGTTACACTCCTACCAGCAGTAAAGGAGAGTTCTAGTTGTTTTAATTCTTACCAACACTTAATACTGTCTTTTTAAATGTTAACCATCCTGGTGAGTATACAACAGTAATGCACTGTAGTTCTAAATTTCATTTCTGTGAAGATTACTTTGAGAACTTTTTGACAGGTTTACTGGCTGTTTGAATACCCTCTTTTGTGAAATGTTTGTTCAAGTTTTCTGCCCATTTTCCTACTGAGCTGTCTTTTTCTTACTGATTTGTAGAAACTATTTTAAGGCAATTTATAAGTTAATTTGCAGAGGATTTTTCTCTAGAGAGAATCTGGATTTTTCATTTTAGCTCCATTTTATCACTCATTTACTAGAATGTATTTAAAAAGGAAATATGGACTGCTCATATTCCCTGTGGGTTTCTCCAAAAACATTATAAACAAACAGATAAATCTATTTACATGAAGGGTTGTCTTCACAATATTATTATTGAATTATCCCTTACTTTGAAGACACTAAGGAAAATGAATAGCAAGACTCAGCTATTTGCTATTATTTGCTATAGTATTAAACACACCTTGTTTCTCAAGAGCGCTTAAAGTTTATAAATTCTGGCTAAACTAGTGGGCCACCTAGGATCTGTGCTAAAGAAAAATGTGTTTTAGGTGCCTTTTAGCTTGGTGTCTAAGTACTTGGCTATTAGTTACTGAGGGGAGGATACTAGATTCAAAATCTGTTACACGACCGATATGGATGGATTAGTAACAGGGATATCTGTGAATTAATGCTGTCTTATAAACAGGCCTTCAGCTGCAGTTTCACTAGCTTAAAAAACTAATAAACTTTTTAAAAGGAAGGAAAGAATTAACTTTACAAATAACGCATGGTGAATTTCATTTTTCTAAGCAGAGAAAAAGTATTTTTATAGATGAAATAACTTGATAAGTATTGTCATCATCTTCATTAAAAGGACATCCCTGAAACATATTTCCCCTGTTTGAGAACCTGAAGAAAAACAAAGGGCCTGACCAGTGTCATTTCCCATAATGAAGCTAACATGGGTCAAGAAACCATGATAGAGTGGAAAACAAAACAAAAATCCAGAGTTAAAGTTAGGTATTAAAATTCAAAGGCCAGAAAGGCTAGAAGAAAACAGAAAGGCAGTTCTGAGCTTAGAAGCATTTGAAGGAAAGAAAAAAAGAAGGATGTATTTGACAACAGGAGCAAAAGTGAACAGTGAATAGGTTGGGGAAAATATCTGCAACAAATAAAAATGAGTCCACAATCTCTTTACCTAAGAAGTTCATATAAATTATATTAAAAATATTCACATCCCCATAAAGTAATTGATCAGAGGACAAAAACACACAATTTCAAAAGGATGAAAGAAATATAATTAGTAAAAACAAACCTGAAAAATATACCATTACAATTTCAAAATGCAAGTTAAAATGTCCCTTTTATCCATTGAATTAGCAAAGAGTAAAATACTACAGGTATATATGTGTGTATGTATGTATAGGTATATACATATAGAAAACAAACAGGAGAGAATTATTTGGGGGGAGAAAAACAACCCTGCTGAAATGAGTGCAAATTGTTACAACCCTCTACAGAGCAATTTAGTATCATAATATAGTGAGATTCTTAAAATGTTTATACCTTTAATGATAATTCTACTCCATGGAATTCATCATAAAGAGATAAACCTAAATACTACAAAAAAATGACAGGCGTAAAGTTGTTTATCTGCAATGTTATTTATAATATCAAAAACCAATAATATCTTATATTTTGAAAAATTTGGAAATGGTTAAGCAAGGTATGACATATTAAATGAAACAGATATTTAAGTATGTTAACAGAGACTAGGCTACAACATGGATAAACGGTTGTTGAGTGAAAAAGCTATTGAAAGAATTACCTATCTCCCATACAATTGTAAATGTAAGTGCCTGTGTTACAGGTGCATAAACACCAAAAGAAGCCTATGCATAAAAAAATCTGGAAAGAATATATTAAGATGTTAGAGTGTTGTCTGGCAGGGCTCTGTGCGACTTCTCTTACTGTACTGTGTTTCTAATATTCTGTAATGAGCATGTACTGCTTTGATGATGGAAAAAATCAACAGTAAACAAACAGCAAGAGTGGAGAGGTGACCAGAAGCATGCAGAGGCATTCTAAATGGGCCTGGCCGAAGTAACACTTACTGTAAACTGTTCAATGTCTCTTTCTAGTCCCACATTTGGCAGGTCAGGCATCATATGAGCCACAACTTTGAAACCGGAATCTTTGGCCAGGTGAAATGACTCACAAACTGCCTTCACAGTGTGGCCCCTGAGAAAAGAAAAGTCACCACCTGTTACACAAATAAATGGGCAACAAAGTTAAAACCAGCAGCAGAGGGAAAACAATCTGAGACATGCAGCAGAAATTCGGTAACCAAAATTCCTATGGCTGGGGGTAAAATAACTCATAAAGTCACCTTTTACATCCTCACCTCTGAAGGGGGCTGGAAGTAAATCATTTCACGTCTGAGATATTTCTCAGAAATTCCCTTACGCACCTATTTAACGTCCTGAAAGTAAATGTCAGGGGTAACAAGAGTTAATGTATATTAAAATTATTTGGTTTAGCATCATTAGTCAAAATAAGCTTACTTATGTAAAGGTCTATATTAAAAATAGGAATAATGAGCTCAAAACTATGCAGCAGCAGCTTGCTATGCTCTTTCCTTTAAAAATCTTGTGTGATTTTTTGCAGAGAGAAAGAGGAAGAGTGAAATCTATTATACAAAATAGATTTCATTAGTGGGTTTGGAGGGTCCTTTAAAAAAACATGAGAAGAGACAATGATGTAGTGAGAAGGCCACGTGAATAAACCATCTTAACTTAGCAATCTAGTGCCACATCCAAGCAGGAAGCAAGCCCTAATAATAGTTTTGGGCAACAAAAGACTGAAGTGGCACTCCTTCCTACTGACCACAGAAAGATCCTAGAAACCATGCACTCCAACTCATTCTTTCTGGATGTTCCCATCTATTTCCATGGCTTCAATTTCTAATCTCTTTTTGTTAATGACTTCCAAATTTCCAAGACCAGGCTAGGCCACTCTGCTGAATACGACACCCGAATATCCAGTACTTTAAAGTAGCATTGTACAAAATGGTAGCCACTATTCCAATTTATATTTAAATGAATTAAAAATGAAAAGTTCAGTTCCTCAGTTGTACTATCACTTTGGACAGTGCAGGCACAGAATATTTTGATCACTGCACAATGTTCTATTGGCTATCCCTGCTCTAAAGCAAACCTTCAATTGGTTGTTCCACAAGAATCTAAAACTTAGCATATCCAGAATGAAACTTATCTTCCCTCCAAGGCCCCTTGACTTCCCATTCTCTCCTACACTCATTTCCAAACAGTCACCAAGCACTACCATTCACTTCTCTCTAGGACATCAGTATTTCTTGCTTAATTTCTTTGACAGTCTCTTACCTGGTCCTGGTTCCAGCTTGCTCTTCTCTAATCCACGCCCCATACGGTGACTAAAGCCATCTTTCTAAAATGCAGATATGCCCCCATCACAGCTTAGCTAGTTTCTAGCCCATTGATGGTTTGCTGCTGCCCTTGGATCAGAGCCCAGCCTCCCTGGGCTGACCTCCAGGGCCCCTTGGCCTGCTTTCCAGCCTTACCCTCTGATCACTCTCCTACCTCACACTCAAACCAAACTAAACCACTCCAATCTCCCCATATCTACCCATCCTCGGGAGTTTGCTCATTTTCTTTCTGCCTGAAACAATCTTCCTCTTCTGTACCTAATTCCTACTTTTCCTTTAAGTCTTGGCTTAGATATCATTTTCTTCAGAAAGCTTCCCTGACCTGCAAGAAACTCTTTCCATCTCCACAGGTATCTCTCCAGCATAGCCTTTGATTATGACAACACCCCAACCAGTCTTCCTGGTTCGAGTTTTATCCTACATGAGTGCATTCTATTTGGGTCACTCTTTCTCAAGCATGACATCCATTAGATTCTTCTTCCCTATGCTCAAAAATATTCAACAGATCTCTATTACCTAAATGGAAAATTCCACACTCCTCAGCCTGGCATTCTTTGGGTTATTTCTAAGATGCTGACCAGTGTCTGTCTCCCCAGTTCCCCCTTCATGTCTACCCAAATCCTACCACAGCATGGGGGGTCTTTAAGGTCCAATTCAACACATCCTCCTTCTGAAGCCCGCTGTTACCATTCTTGGTTAATGATCTGGGCTGCCTAATGAACTCCTGATGTTCCTGCCCCATCCCCTACTAATTTAGCAATTAATTATAAAGTTCCTCATACAGTTAACTTTTCACTGATATTATCTCTCTTCAAATCGACGCTATATTTCCAGAGGGAAAGAACTTCATATGGCTCTACAAACCCTTATTTCTTTCCTACCTGGTACTCCCGAATTTCTCAAAGTTTATACCCACTGCCTCACCAAACCTTCTCTCTGCCAACTGGTATCTGCTCCACAAAAATTAACCTCTTGAACCTCACCTTGACTGCCTTCTTATTCAAATCCTTCCTTTGCTCCATTCTCCCTGGCCTTCTCTCTTGCTTTAAATTACTCACCTTGAATCCTGCCTTCTGCTTTCTATATGGACAAAACCGCTTATGACAAGAACAGGGAGAGATATGAGCATGTTTAGAGGCTACTGGAAAAGAGTCAGTAGAGAAAGACTGAAAAATGAAGGAAAGAGGGAATGGAATTAAGAGCAGGGACAGAAGAAAGGACTTTGAAAAGGGGGAACACCCATACCTCTTCCTCTAAGAACTGGTAGGCAGGAAGAAAGGATGAGTATGAATGCAGAGAAAATCGGTGGGGACAGAGGAAGGCTTGCTCAAGATCACCTGCCACCATCTTACCTGTTGGTGTCTCTGGCGACATCTTCGTAGACACTCTGAACGCCAATCTCCAGCCTCGTACAGCCATAGGTCAGCATGTCGCTTAAATGCCGCTTCATGCAATAATCTGGTCTGGTCTCAATAGTAATTCCGATACACTTTGTGAGGCTTCTCTCAGAATACCTGTAGGACAAATCTAAAAATAACAAACCTGGGGCAGGTTTTAGGACATATACTCCCTCTCAAGGGACTGCCTTCTCTCAGTCCTCCCGGTATGAGACAGTGGTTAAGAGTGTAAACTCTGGAGCCAGACCGTCTGAGTTCAAATCCTAGCTCTGCTACTTCCTAACTACGCAAACAGCAATGGGATTACCCTCCCTGTGCTTCAGTTTCTTTGTCTGCAAAATGAGGATAATAATAGTATCTATACCTCGCAGGACTGACGTGACTAAACTAGCACATAGTACTATTATTACCATTATCATTATTATTCTCCTGCAGTATGCTGCAACCTAATATCCTTGAAAGCGGTGATTTCAACTGTGAAAACCTATTTTTCAATTCCTAGCAACTGTTTTTCACATAAGCAAAACCATCTGCATTATTTATTTCCCACTCCATATTTTAGAGTCATTTTAAATAAAAGAAAAAGGGAAGGGGGAGGGGATGTGTAATGATCATAGGAATAATTCAGATGAAAGGTCTTTGACATACACAAAAGTTTTTCTGCCAAGCCTATTAATCTTAGCAATGATTTACAAAATTGGAATCATTTTGCCTTTCACTTAAACCAGATATCAGAGTAGTGAGTGATTACTACTTTAGATTCAAGCTATTTGAGTTAATGGCCTTAATGCTGGCCAAAGATCAGAGAAGTAAAGATCCACTTGCTTAGGGGGCTGATATGAGGGGACAAGAACTCACAGACGCCATGTGGGCCAAGCTCTGTGTCATACACCCTAGCAATATTGAATTTCCCACCAGCTCCATGAAGTGTGTCCTATTATTCCCATTTTGCAGATGATGAAACTGAAGTTCAAAGGGAATAAACAGCTTGTCCAAGGGCACAGAGCTAATAAAGTCCAAGTCAGGATCTGAAGTCAGGCTCATCTGACTTTAAAATCCTTACTCTATATTTCATTTACCACACTGCT